CCTCCTCTACTGAATGGTACTTAAAGCTAGGGAAAAGACTTCATGCAATTGATTCTGCGGTCTCACATCGTTTTCAAGCACGATGATCCGACTTAGACAGTTCCTAAAACTTCTTTGCTCAAGCCACAAACAGACGTGATTTGGCATCTGACTTTCCCTTATTTACAACTGCAAATATTTTTTCAAGATATACGAAACAACCACTGAGATTTATTAGCGGTGTAAATCACAAAAACCTAAACTATCACAGTTTTCTTCCTTTTTGAATGTTGATTGGGAGTAAAACAATACTTGAAATAGGCTGGTGGACTCTCAAGACATACATAGCTGTTACGCCTCGTAGGAAGATTGAAACGGAGGCTAATATGGTACAAACCACCGGACATTCTCCAAAGAAAAGAACAACGCAAATAACTATGCAATTTGTAGGCTTTCATTGGAAAGCGAACCTTATTGGAATAAAGGCATGTTGCATATCTTCTCTTGAAAGAGAAACCCAGAAAAATAAAACACAACAACACCATAAATTACACTATACTACATACAACGAACAATAATTGCCCACGAGTATAATGTACCTTCAGAAATGGACATCAGGCACAGAAGCGAGACAGGAAACAGTAACCCGTGCGACCAGCGGGCATGCCCGGGTTGATTACTGATTGAAACCGAGCGCATTCATCAACTTCGACTTCAGACCTGATGAGGAGTGGCTGGTCGTCATGCGGGATATTTGTGACGATGTCATCAAGTCGTCGTTTGACCGTAAGGATGGCTCCTGCTGTAAAGCGACACACATCACAACACGAAACAATCGCAACTAGGGGCACACAAAACCTCGATTAATTTGCCGTAGCTAGGTTTTCGAGCTTGTGGCGAAGCAATGCAAAGGTTTCATGCGCGTCCTAGACTGCGGCATAATAATAAGCAAAGTGAGGGTACTTGATGAAGGCGGAATGGAGGCATGCAAACTCCCGCCATACACTCGAGCTTGTTTCATAATCTATGTCCAGTTCGTGGTTATTGACTAAGAGAGAAGTGTTAGATGAGATTGGGGTTTAGGGTAATCACAAGTAAAAAAGGTTTCCAAGCACAACTACCAAACATAATCTGCGCGTCCCCGCGCATAATTGCGTTGGCAAAAAAATATCGGCTGGAAGCACTACATGGTAATATAAAGTCTCCATGAGCCATTCTGTTTTCTCGATAAGCATAAATATCAAGCCGAAAGCACCTACGATGCATGTATATGAGCCTCGTAAACCAGACAGAAATTGTGAGACAAACAAAGGACTAGAAGGGTCAGCAAATCATTCATAAATCTTTCAGTTCTGTAACCAATTGCAACATCGAACTATGTTGAAAGTATACAACGATTATGCCAGCTACAAAGTAGCATATCCATCCGGAAGCGACCGATTTTGACTAGTCTCCAGATATGACTGATTCTTGGCGGCCGGCAGAACTATTATATGACTATGTGATAAAGCGTCATGCAATGCAACAAACACGAGCAACAGTGGACAAGCTAATGAGCGACACGAACTCCGGAAACACGCACCAGCTCACACAACGGACAAAGTTGACTTTGAAAGCATCGACACCTCTTCGTGAATAACAGAGCTCGATTCGTTCGAAAGCCAACTCACCAGGGTGTTATGCCAACCTGTACTCGCGAGCTATATCCGAGGAGCTGGTTCATTCGCTCATGCTGCGCAGCGCGCTGAGCCTACAACATAGGAAACGCACTCTTGCGTAGGTCACATCCAACCAATCACGACTCTTTGTCCAAATGAGAGAGACGATACGCAAACAAGCAGCGATCGCATGTTGAAAGAACACTAACAAACCGAAAGTTTCTTTGAAACTGCTGCTCGAGGAAGTTCAACGCAGACAGAGTTACAACGGACAATACAAGCAAAGAAAAATTTTGACATTATGCTCAAAAAATTGGATTTAACTGTTTCACTTAGACGGCAGTGAGTACAAAAAAAGTGAAAAGACACATACCTGCTTCTTAGCCCTAAGAGCCACGTCTTCTAGTGTTTCCGCAGCCTCATACTTGCCTTGACGTCGATAGAGAGCGCCAAGGTTTTTCAGTGTTGTCGTTACAGTTGGACTGGAAGTAAATAGATAGTGAGATATACTACGTAGAAGATCTCTGCTAGTACTGGTAAAATCACCATTACAGAGAAAAATAGTATGTAAAAATCACCTGTCAACTTTTGCGGCCTTGTGCCAACCACCAAGGTCGTTGTAAGCGATTGGCCCTGCATCTGCACCGCCTTTTTGCTTGAGCTCCTCCCGATCCTCAGCTATCTGCCAGATTGGTTTATTATCCTCACCGATCTGAAAAGCAAGGTGCACGATTAGCAAAGGCAATGTCCATATTTTAACATACCTTGCCAAACTCCCGCTCGTGCGCTCTTGTTAAAATCTGCTTGTACAGTTCCTCAGCTTCCTGAAAGTTAGAGATAGAACATACAATCAGATGGATGAGCGCGGTAGTTAGGTCAGATTTAGAGCTAGGTCCCAACCAATCGTATAATGCGAGTATAAACGTGGCAGCATCTGGCTGCAAGTCAGAATCAATTAGCAGGACATGGTAAACAGACATTTAGCCAGCACTAATGCTCGAAAAGCAGCATTGATGCACAGCGGCTGCGGCCTAATGGGACAAAGTACTCGCTCCTTTATGCAAACATAAAAAATTGCTTCTGGCTTCAGCAGAAAAAAACTGTTGAGCACATCATTTTAGATTAATTGGAAAGACGGTAATGCAGAAGAAAAACCGGTCTTACGACTAACTTAATACTAAACTTATGGATAGCGAAATACGAGGAGGACTCGCTAAAAATGTTCGACATCAAGTCTCGCTTCGTATGCTTTTAGGCTTTAAACAATCAATGTAATATACAGAAATGCAGTTTGTAACAGCAAATCTACCTTGTATTTTCCTTGCTTCAAGTATGCTGATGAGAGATTGTTCTTCGTCTTTGCGACATTGGGATCATCTGGTCCAAGCTTTGTCTCGTAGATTTCCAAAGCACGTCTAGAAATGCTTTCATAAGACACGAGAAAAAGAACTCCAGTTTCATGAAGATAGAAGAAGAACAATATGGAATCAGTGAGGCTAAATGAGTGCTGGCAATCAATCGGTAAAACTTTTCGAAACCCGACTGCGCGGAGATTTTCCAATACTGAACAAATTAACTCACTTGTAATACTTCTCCACCTCTTCATACTTTCCTTGGTTCTGACACAAGAGAGCCAAGTTGTTGAGTTGTTTAGCAACATCTGGATTGTCATGACCAAGCACCTTAAATGACTCGTGTAGTGTTCGAACTATACCCTTTGCCAGCTACCTTCTCCCTAATTTCTAGAGCACGTTTGCAAAGTGGTTCAGCGTCCTTGAACTTTCCACGCTTGCCATAAAGGACTGCCAAGTTATTCAAAGTGGCGGCTACCTGTGAGTAAATTGATAATATGATGTACTTAACATAATAACAACAAAAGCCACTTACAGCAGAATGGTTCTCTCCTAAGCACTTCTCCCTGATGGCTAGTGCTTCATTGAGAAGATTGGCAGCCTCCTTATATTTATTTTGGTCTCTAAAAAATACAGATCAATAAAAAGACCGAAATCAGAAACCCGTATAAAGTGGCGACACTGACCTATACACCAGCGCAAGAATGTTCAGCATAGTCGCCACGTCAGGATGGTCATGACCGCTAGTTTTTTCCAGATCTTCGAGCGCTTGTTTACAAAGTGGAACAGCAACTTCGTAGCGGCCTTGAGAAGCATACTGGATCACCTGGAAGATGGAAGCTGACTCACTGCAGTTCAAGACCACACTGTCAAGAGGATAATATTGTAGTACGTTAATAGAATGAGTCCGGGAAATGAAAGTAACACAAAGATTGAATCCGTGCTGAGAAACTAACACAAAGTGCAACAAGCACCCAAGATATCAACTTCACAATCATTCAATTGTCGTCACACTTCGTTTGCATACCCATCCCGTCGCAAAAAACGCATAAATTTGGTATCATCAATCCGATAGCCTATCACTCAGAATTATCGAAGACAAATAGTACATCAGAAGCTACTTACGGGCCATGCAGTCACAGCTGCGAGTCTACCAGTACCCATGCTAACCGTTCCAGCAGTGCAAATGACCCCGATCAAACAAAAGACAAAGATCGTTAACCAAACATACTAATGAAATCGCACTTCAACAACAACCTAACTCACAGACAACACCTCGGATAATAACTCAGTCAAACGCATAAGATACTGAAGCCAAAGTTGGTGAAATCACATTATGCTTGTTCAACATACCATCATCGTTTTACAAGACTATTTGAGAGCTTAAAGGCAACGGCTCGCCAGAATGACGAAGGGATATTTATCTTCTCAGACTCATGGATGAGCTAAGTCCAAAACTGAATTTGCAGCTATAAAAGATAAAATAATCCGCTTTTACAGACGTGAAAAGTGTATTTGCCGTGCCTGCCTTCTAGAGCGCGATTCGCTTGTGAGTACGGTGGGTACGGTATCTCCACTCACGAGCCAACCGCGCTTTAGAGGGCAGGCATACGCGGTCCGCCCCAATAG